TGCTAGTGCTGTCACAGAGGGTGACACACCTTAGAAACTCTTTATTTAAATATTTTATTTAAAGCTTAACACAGTGAACTTTTTATATATATATATATTTATATTTATATATAACCAATTTATCTCCCTTCCCTAAATGAAAGCTAGATTTAGGGGGATACATTACTGGCCCTTTTTTTTCTTTCCCTTCAAATAAATTAATTTGGTGTACATAGAAAAATATATGACTTGGGTTTCCTTTCAGTTATAGATCACACAAGGGTTGGGGTAAAGAATGGAAGACAAGCACAAGAACTTCCTCCTGTCCAAAATAAAAAAAAAAAGGAAAAACACTGAATTTAAGCATTTCTAGTGCAACAGAGCCAAGAAATCCATGTTCTGCCACCAGAGGCATGGCATGACTCCTGCTGTTACCACTTCTTCTGAACTGCTCAGCTCATGTCCTTGGTCCCCAAAGGGTCACGTTTCCATGTGACATTACAGCACCAAAATGAAAAAGGCTGAACTTTAAAAATCTGAAAAATCAAGTTTCTGGACCTCAGCAGCAAGGCTGCAGCTGGGTGGTGGGGTTCTCTTCTCTTTCACACTGGATGGTCACTGACTTTGGCATCAGAAAACATTGGGGACAAGAACACAGCAGGATCTGGCAATGTTTCCTGCAGCAGGACACCCTGGAGCTCTCAACTCCCATCCCAGGGAGGAAGATGAAGAATGCAGTGGGACTCCAGAGTAACCCAGAGCATTTCTGCCTCATGGAAACACCTTACAATGACAAAGAGTAACCCAGGGAGGCATTAAGCTGCAGCACATCACTATGCTGAGAGGGGTGGTGGAACATCCTGCAATGGGAGAGGAGCAGAGACCCAAGGCAGAATCTCACACACAGGCCTGGCAGCTCAGTTCAGACTCAGCCCTGCTATCAAGAGAAAAATCCACATCAAAGGCCACAATTTTCCCCCCCTCCAGAGAGCCAAAATTCAGCCCTTCCAAGTCCATAGTTGTAGGAAACAAACTGCACATTCACTCCAAACACTGATCAAATATTTCTCATGGATCCAGCCAGGCACGTGGGTGTAGGCAACGACTTTGATATGACTCCAAGCTGGGCTGCCTGGCAGCTCTGCTTGCCCTCCCACGTCTCCTGTGCCATTTCCCACCCACCCTGCAACAGTCAGTCCCAGTTCAAACACCACTTTTGATTCACAACTGCTCCCTTCCCCAACAGCAGCTCAGTGAAGCCACCAACCTCTTCTGAGATCTGTTCCCCAGACAGAAGGAGAGAGCCACAGTGAGCACACGTTTCCTATTGGCACCAGTTTTGGCAATTAGCACTGGGATGCAAAAGAACATTTCATAAATAAATAAGTAAACCAATAAATAAATCAAGAACACTTCTGAACACCAAAACAAAAAAAAAACAACCCAAAACCCTTAAAAATAAGAGCAGGGTATGGGACAACTGAAGGTTTCTATACCAAACCTCAAATCTCTCTCTTAGCTGTGGTTTCCCCCTCCTCTTTTTAAAGCAAGGCCTCTTCAGGAAATCAGGTTTGTGATCACAGTGTGAGCCCACAGCTCCCTGCCCTCCTCTAGGCATCTCTGGAGTTGCCCAATTTAAACTGAATCTGAGAAAAGGGCACAAGTATAAAAGGCTTCCACGCAGTTCAAGAAAACAGGTAACAGCAGAGAGGGGAGAAGGGAGTGAGTCAAGGGGGGGGAAAAGGCCACAACACGAGCTCCCACATCACCAGCAAAACCAGAAAGCAAAACTCCATTTTGGAGTGGTCCAGCTGCAGAGCTCACCTGGAGGCACAAGGCATGAAAATCCACAGGAAACCAGCCTGGTTTTTAGTGGAGCTCCTGAAGCAACTGGCTTCTGGAAAGAGGCCTGCCTCACAATTCTGCCCTGCCCCACGCTCCTGCCCTGCCCCTGCAGCCCAGCCTGGGCACTGCCAGGCAGCCAGGAGAGCAAACCCCACTGGAGGCCTCACCCCCACCCTCACTGGCACCTCTTGCCCTTTTTACCAGAAATTTAACCTTCCAACAGCATCATCAAACATCCCACAAGGCTCTGAAAACTAACAACACAGGAGAGACGCAGCGGGGAGGACGGACAGACGGACTAGCCTGAAGATCAGCTGCAGGAGCACCCCGGGACGTGGGGCAAGGGGGGAAGCAGGAGGCAACGGCCAACGGAGGGGACAGCGGGTGACACGATGAAGGGCAGGCAGGGAAGCCACAGCTCGGGGCTCCCTCACAGAGGCAGGTCAGTGCTGTTGTGTCGAGTCTTCCGCGAGGTCCCATCATCCCTGGGCAGGGCCCTCTGCAGGCTGGACATGGCCGCTGTCTTTTTGAGGTCAATGACGGCGTAGGAGTCCGTCCGGCGGGTTTCGTGGGTGGCAGGAGGTGGGACACGGGGGACAGGTGGGTTCTGGTGTCCCTTGAGTGGCTCAGCCTCCAGTTCCACCTGGATGTAGTTGAGTTGCCGGGGCTGGTCCGGGCAGGGCCGGGGGAAGTCGAAGCTGAAGACGTTGGGGACGCAGCCGCGCCGGGGTTTGGACAAGAATCCCCCGCGCCGCCGGCCGTGGCCCCTGTGCAGGGCGGTTTTCTCCGAGTTCATGTAGTTCTGCAGGGGATCTTCTTCACCTGCCTCAGAGCAGCCGCCGGGGGGAGG